AGGTGGGAGGGCTCCTCGACTGGGCTGCAGCAGGCAGGGGAAGGGCCCGCTGGGCGGCTGCCTGGAGCTGCCTCTGCCAGGGACAGGGAGGGCAGCGGGAGCGCGCACGCAGCGGCCTTCGGCAGAGTCGCAAGGCATGAGTAGGGGGCAGAGGTGCCGGGGGCCCTTCCGGGATGGCACGCGCGGGGTGCTTTGCGAGGCTCCCTCGGGGCTGAGCGGCACAGAGCCATCCCCGTGGGAGGAGCGCCCAGCGTGCCGGGGCTTCTGCGGGCACCTGCGACATGGGTGCTATCTGGTGTTGCTCCGGGTTCCACGTGTAGACGGCCCGCGGATACCCAAAGTGCCAACCGGGGACTGGAAAGCGGCTTTGCCTCATGCACAGCAGCCCCCTGTCAGGCGGGAAGGTGGGCTCACGTCAGATCCAACCTGGTGGAGGCAGCAGAACTTGAGGAAATGCTTCTCCGCGTCTTTAAGACAGTGCAAAGGATACCCAGAACAGAACAGTTTAATATATGTTTGATTACAGATCTGGAATAACAAGTCAGATAGTACGCAGTTTTACCTCCTATATACATATAGTGTTCCACACATACAATTTTCACCTTTAGTGTTTTTACCCAAACACCTGCAGGTTTAAATCTACAGAGAGGAGGAGCAGTTTTGCTACCCCAGCAAGCAAAGAGAAATTGAGGGATGTTCGTTGCCCCAGCTGGAGTGGGAAAGGCAGCAGCTGCGCTGCCTTTCTCTTCCGAGAACAAGCCCACGTCAACCAGGGCAATTGGAACAGCGGTGAGGGCGCAGTCACAGCCGACCCTGATGTGCATTAGGGGCAGTTTCCGAGGAAAGCCCGTCCTCCCGAAGGCCCAGCAGCCAAGAGGTACCTGCAGGGAAATGCCGTCTTTGCAGAGTAAGCATTCCAGGCTGCTTCCGTCTCTTGCCTCTCCAGATATCCTGGCACAGCAGGTGGGAGCTCTGAAGACTCTGCAGCACATCAAGGACAGACCAGGTTGCACAGGGCTCCCCAGGGCTCCCCCCTCCCCCAGGAATTGGCAGCTTATTTCTCCCTCCAGTAAGTGCAAGGGCAGGTAACTTTTCAGAAGCAAGTAAAAGAACCTATATTAGGTATCAAGGCTAAGATAATGCTGTCGATACGGCTGAAGAACCACCGTCCCCATGGAATTTGCCCGACTGTTCTTGACTTAGTCCTCTCAGCGTGCCAGAGAATCAGCCAGCAACAGGGGACACGAATGAACCACCCGGGTGGTGCTGGGTCAGCCAAGGTTGCAGCCAGCCAGCCAGGCCAGGCCCCTGCAGCTGCTTGCACGAAGCCACAACGCGGGCCTAGTGCAGGCGGGATGTTCTGCTCCAGGGTGGAGCACAGCGCCCTGCCCTGCCCTGCCCTGCCCACCGAGTTCCTTCACAGTCCTAAGAGTATTGCCAGTGAACTACTAAGTTGGCTTTGAATCACGAGATCCTGAGAAGTGGTCAAGGGCCAGGCTCAGCCCCATGGCGACAAGTGGGAGGGCCACCACAGTGCTTCTGGCCCCACAGCGCTGACCAGCACCTTCAGCCTCCAGAGAACAGCCGTCTTTCCCCAGAAACATCCTACAGGCATCTCCACAGGCCTGCGGCCGAGCGTCTCCTGGTGCTTTCTGAACTGCCTTCCAGCTCGTTAAGGCTTTGGGGTTGCTCCTGGCTGCCATGGCGTGCGTGGAGGCCAAGGCGGGCTGGGGGCCTGGGTGCACGCTGCTGCATCCCTTTGGGAAGCCACGTTTCGCCGCAGCGCTGGCCTTTCACAAGCTGCCCCAGGCTGGCGCGAGGGGAGCACAGCTCGGTGGTACAGAGGAAGGCAGAGCGGCACCGAGGCGGTTCATGAGCTGACACTTTAGCAGAAGATGGTTCTGTCACAGGCCTATTTTTAAGGAGACCTGATGGCCTTGGATAAAACAGGAAGCCCCTAAAATAACAGTCTTCTGCTGTAAAATGTATCTCCCCTGAAATGAAGGCGGCCTATATTGCAGGTTTCATTGCTCCTGTGAGAAACGATTGCACAGAAGAGACAGTGAAGACTTTGGGGTGTGCTCCGGTCTTCAGCTCTGCTCCCACTGAGGTCACCAGAAACTGCCATTCTGAACCAACCGGAAGGGACGCCTGCAGGCAGACTCCCACAGCTGCCTCTCAAGGCGCAGGCAATGCGAGGCTTTCGTTATATACTCTGTGATTATTGGCATCAGCACCCCTGCGCCTACTGGCAATCGCAGGCTCGGATCTAAGGAGGCCATGCCCCGAAAGCAGCCCAGTTCCCCCTGCTTGTGTGGCCAGCCCCAGGAGAGTCCCTCTGGTGGTGCGGCTGGGTCGTGGGTGTGAGAAACCGCCCATGTTGCAAGCCTCAGTAGAGCTTTATAGACACGGCAAAGTTAAAACAGCCCCCAGCGGACAGCTTTGAGGGAATCGGGTGTCACGAATGTCAAGAGCCCACACTTTTTATTTAGAATGCGCATGACTAGCATGTGAGAAGTAAAAGGATTCTGAACGGCTGAAGGGAGCGAGTGATCCAGCCGTTAAAGGGGGTGTGCTCCACTGGTCTCCAGGGCATGGAAACGGGCCGGGGGGGGGGGGTGCAGGCGACGCCAGCAGCATGCCTTTGCTCCCCTCAGGGGGGCCAAGACACGCACGCGAACAAGGGCGGTCTGATGGGAACACTTGTGTGCCTTGCCTTTAACTTCACAACCGGGAAGTGGACCTTACTCGGAGGGGAAGCCTCTCCGCTGGCCGCTTGGCTACCTCCTCCTGACAGTGCTTCACCCAACCTGCTCCTGGTGAGCAAAGCAGCCAGTTCGACTGGCAGGAGTTCGAGTGCCGGGGGCAAGGCCAGGAGACACCCACCCACCGCGACCCCAGCTCTCCGCATCCTCCCCCTTGGGTGCCTTGCTGCCTTGGCTACCCGTGTGAGATTTGGGGGTCGATCCCCTTCTTCTCCCTTCCCCGCTTGCTACCGGGGCTCCCCATTACTGCTGCCAGCTTAGCGCTCCCCTGTGCCGCTCCCATCGCCAGGTCCCCACCGACCCTTCGCTCTGGCATCTGCTCGTCCTGCCACTCCCTTGAGAATGATGGGCCCAGCTCAACCTCTCCAACAGAAGCAGTCTTCTGTAATGTGGAAGCAGACGCTTGTCAAGACCTACTTACGCATCCTCAGCTTCCTTTTCTTCTCCCTTTCTATCTACAAAGTTCTCTTAAGGCATGTACTGAGCTCAACGTTCGTTTTTCTTTGCATACTTACAAACTACAATTGTTCTTTACTCCAATTTCAGAGGTTACCCTATTTAAATATTTCTCTGTGGAAGGACAGCTTGCTGACCGCTAACTGTGGATCTTCAAGTGTTCACCAGTGTGCTCCTACATTTGGATTCTGTGCATGTGCAGAGTATTATTTGGAAGCATCTGGAGCTGAGCAGAATTTTGGCAGGAGTTCCCCTGGCCCATGGCCAGGGCAACATTCTGCTATTCCTGCTCACTTCCCTTCCATTTGTAGCAGCAGATGTTGGGCAAATTCTCTGGCTCCAAGGAGAACGTGGAGTGTGTCTGTTCCCAGCCGTTCCACACACAGCGGGACGGAGGTGGGCCCACATGCTCCAAATGATGCTCCGATATGCGAGCCACAGAACCCTTTCCATTTCTGACTGAAGCCCACTCACTGCCTCAGTTACCCAAAAGCACACTACAAAATCAGCTTCTGTTAGAATAAGCTCTGCCTACATGGAGGCCTCAGAGCCACCTAACAAGTTTTCGCGTAGCTTTGAAAGGAAGGACGCTGAAGGACAGACCCAACTTTCCCCTGGCGTGCTGCTCGTGGGCTTAGGGAGGAGGTGGCTGTGTCCTTTTTCCTCGGAGCACCATTTGGCCCTGGAGGATGGAAGGGTGCCGGCCTGCTCCATGCGATGCCATTTTGAGTGTGAGGCCGGGGCTTGTGTACCTCTTCCCTGGTCAGGGCTGCTGTTTAATTTGGTTCTGGGACCCACAAGAGATGCCTACAAGGCCTGGGCAACCATAAGGCGCTAGACATGGGGGGACAGGCACCAACTGAGCATGAGCTCTGTGGGCAGCCTTTGTGGCTCCCCCCCCCCCAGCTCAGCAGGCTGCAGATTTGATTTCGGAGGGGGCTGAGAGTCCTTCATCCCCACCCAAGGGGAGCTGCCTTCAGCTTCCATCCTGTGCGGGGTGGGGGGGGCGGTCTTTGGCCATCCCCCACACCGCACGCCACTAAGGAGGGATTCTGCGGACCCGAGTGTGTCAAAAGCCGCCACCACTGTTCAGAACAAGAGTCCTGCACTGCAAGTCGCTTCTGGCGGCTCAGGAAATTTTGTGCGGCTGCGCGTGCCGTTTCCCAGCTCTTAATCGTCCCCCAAAGTGCCGGGATGATCCCTATGGATTGAGGGAGTTTTTCCAGCCTCTCTTTTGGACCTGGGTAGATTGCCAGAGTGTGCTGAGAGTTTTCCTGACCTCAGAGAAGGGATTGGTGCGCAGCGAAGGCCTGGATCTGGCCTCGACTGGACATACCACCTCCACGGGCCTGGGTGGGAAGGAGCAGCACTGTGGGCGCTGGTTCGGCCCAGCGAGGGCTCGGGGAGACCGGGGGCTGTTCCGAGGCCGCTGGACACCGCGGCCCCGGGGTGGCCAGTCTGCTGGAGCAATACGGCAGCACCCCTGGCTGGACATGGAAGCCCTTAAGCCGGGACCAGGCCGCCCCCTAGGGGTGCCTGCTCCTCCTGCAGCGCGATCCATGCTGGGGTGAGGCGGTGGAGGGGACCCAGGAGTGACTCCGGGCTTCTGAGGCTGCAGACGGCCCCTTGGAAGCAAACGGGGCTACCGCCTTTCGCAGCCCCGCTTGCCCGGGCGTTTCCTGGGAGTGGGCTGGAAGCAGATGAGGGGATGGGAGCTGGTAAAATGTTTTGAATGGAGAGGAGCAGTTAAAAGAATATCTGGTCCCTTGACAGTCTTATTATCTGTTCTCTGCAGAGGCTCATGCGGTCGAAGCAACTGCCTGCCTCGGGTGGGGACGGCTGTCCTTCCAACCCTGGAGATGGGGTAAATCGGAAGAAGTGGAAGTATGAACCGATCCAGTCTATCTGGGAAGGCCTGTTACAGGTGCTGCTGACCACACACACGGCGGCGAAAGTTACAGGAGTCACGCCTCGGCCGGGCTACAGCCAGGCGAACCAACTATTTAAATTTTTGTGTGACTAAAAAAAAAAAAAAAAAAAAGGATTCTGAAGCATCTGAGCATTTTGTCCCTGGCAAGAGCTGGTCGCAGTGTCTCCTAAATGGGGTAACATTACTGCTCCCTCTTGCAGTGTTTCATTGTACAGAGCCCCTGTGGCTAGAAATCCAGCAAGCGTTAACAGCTGGAGCAGAGTCAAGACGAGTGTCCCACAGACTCTCGTTCTCAAGGCCCGTTCTACCACTGGCCAACATCATGGCTGGCTTCAAGTTTATGACCCTGAACAAGAAGGCTAAAAGGAAGAGAGTTACCACCAGTGCAGCCCACTGCGGGCGGACAAGCAGTAGCCTCGGCCAATCCAGCCACGGAGATATGCAGTTCACATTCCAGAAGAAACTGAAATTAGCGTCCTTATGTTTACCCCCCAAGAAGTCCATCTGCTGGAGACAAAAGGCATTTGCAAAAGACACTGAAATTCCTAGAGCTCAATTTGGGGTGGGGGCAAAACCAGGAGGAGAGCAGCAGGCTCCCACATAGCTGCATTCAGAAGGAGTCCACCACACATGCCGGAGGTTAAGTCCTAGGAAGTATGTCCAGGGTTGCATATTTAGCCATGGTGAAGGCTAGTGCAGGAAGAACGTAGCCCTTGCATCTACACTTCGATAAGCACACAGCTGTGCCCTCTCAGCGAAAAGAGGAAAGGGAAGAAACTCAGCCTGGACTCCTGAGTCTGTGCTGGAAACGCACCAGCCACCATGTTGGTCAGGCCGAGTGATCCTGAAATGGAGCCAGAGCTTCTTAAAAGACAGCATGGATCACAGTACTGTCCAGTGCAGGATACAGAAGGGTGGGGAAACGGAACAGGGCAGAAAGGGCCTTGTGCGCGCCGAAAGCGACTTAAAGGATGGACTTCATGTCTGAGGCAAAAGCGATTGCATGCTAGCTTTAATTTTAAAGAATAGCAGTGCAGCGACAAAAACAATGAAAATCAACAGCTGATTAAATGTCAGAGTCAGCCGTTTGGCTCCAAAAGGTCCAATAACACTAAACAGCTGAATGCCACCTTTCTATTGAACCAGTTCAGATTACTGAGAAGGTGCAGTCCTCCTACACAAGTGCAAATGACCCAACCCTAAACCTACGGGAATTCCTTTCACATCTGTTCCACTTGCAAAAATGCAGGCGAGGCTGCATGGCTCGTGACAGATAGGATGCTGCATCGCAGCTATTCGGCTATTCAGAACCAAAAATATTTGGCATTCTCAGAAGGCTGTGCTAACTGAAATAGAGACAAAAAAGCCACAATTCCCTTGTCAAAAGCCGCTTCCTCTGACTGACTCTGGCCCTGATCCTGCCACATGTTCTGACTGTGGGAACAGATGCACACAGTGTGGGCAAGCCCATTCCCCATCCCTGCACAAGCCGCACCGGGTGCTTGCCGCCTCGGCCACCGGCTCTGCCACGGGACGGCCGGAGCACAGCTGCACGTGTGCTGAACTGGCGCTCCAATTACGCCCGTCTCCACCCCGAGAATCCCAGGTGCCTCTGCACGGTAAGTGGGGCTGTGCAGAGAGAGAGAAGAGAAGAAGAGGAGAGGCTGTCCTGGATCATTTATTCAGTTGTCTCTCTTAGGTCATACCAGATACAGAGAAAACAGTTTAATCAAAGCGTGGAGGTCAGAAGCCACACACCCCAGCCTGGCACTGGCTTTGCTTTTGTTTCTGGAAGTGTCAGTTCCTCTTTCCTCCGCCCTCCAACCTCCCGAGAGACAATCCCGCGCTACCAGCGACCGAGGCCACTTCACTGACCGACGCTTTGCATCAGACGCTGAGGGTGGGCAACCGTGCAGTTGTCTTTGTTTACATACAAAAGGCTTAACATTTTATATATTTTCAAGGAGCTGCAGTAGCCAAAACAAAAACAAGTAGTGTCGGTGAGAAACAGTAAAAAAGAAAAAAATCTCTCCTTTGGATGTGTTCGGATCCCCAACGTATGGTTTGACTTTGTGCCTCTGTAACTAGACAAAGAGTCCAGCAGAGTTATCTGAAGGCACTTGATGTCCCCTCTGAGCTGAGAGTGTTTCAAGGGGAGGGAGACGGGGCTTGGCCCTACATGGCTGTGATCCACTTGGACCCAGGGAACAACGAAACCAGCGGCCACTCCCTTTCCTACCTGCTCCCCCAGGAGAACACCGCCAGCCGGAGCGTCTCTGTGCTCCGGTGGACAGAGGCCGAGGCGCTGCTCTCCGGGGAGTCATACACTCCGCGAGCTGTTCAGTTTGGTCGATTCATCGGCCTCGTCAGGCCCCGCTTCCTCGCGGGCACCACTTTCCCCAGCCTTACCAAGTCTCCTTCGGTCGCCTGGCTTCGCTGCCTCACTAGGAAGCTTCTTGAAAGGCGGCAGCCCGTCCTTGAGCTCCGTGCTGCGGTCCGAGGCACGAGGCCCCTTGTCCGAGCTCTGCACAGAAGGCACCAGGTTGGTGATCTCGTCTGTCGGAGACCGCCCGATGCTGCCGTCCACTTGAACACGGATGTCGGGAGAGATGGACAGCTGGTGGTGCGGGACGATGCCGCTGTCCATGCATTTGGGGTAAAGGAAGGTCTTCATCTGACCTTTGCCCTTCACGTTGACTGTCCCCCTGTAATCAAAGTCATACCCCATCTTGTTAAGGACGCGGTAGCTCTCCTCACTCACCTGTATGCGGCACTCCACCCCCGTGGTGTCCATCCTGCTGGCTATGTTCACAGTGTCGCCCCAGATGTCGTACAAGAGTTTGGTGGTACCAATAACCCCGGCAGTCAGAGGGCCATGGTTAAAGCCAATGCGCAGCTTGAAGTTGAACCACAGCATGTTGTTGTTGAAGTCATCGACCACGCACATCATTTCTTTGGCAAATTCAAAGAGGGTTTGCAGGTGGCTGTGGGGATTGTTGATGTCCTGGCACTGGGAGGTGTTCAGCCCGGAGGCAGCCATGTACGTGGCCCCAATGGTTTTGATCTTCTCGATGCTGCTGTAGTCGGGCTTGCTCAGCAGTTCATCGAAGTCCCCAATCAGCTCGTTCAGGACCCTGTAGCACTCCTTGCCGCCCTCGTAGTTCTCCTCGTAGAACTCACCGAAGTTCACGATACTGGCAAAGATCACGCCGCCACTGTCATGGTTTTTGGAGTAGCTCTGCGACACTTTCAGCTGCTCTGCCACATGATACGGAATAATATTCCGCAGCAGCCAGTCGGCCTGATCTCTCATGCTCTGGATCTTGGTACGGTGAAGGTCAGCTTCCACATCGCCGTGATAGTGAAGACGGTAACTCACCTCAAATTCCCGATTTAAAAACCAAACCAAAAGGAGCAGAAGGAAGAAACCCAGAATCACTTCCTGGCCAATCAGGTCTGCTGGTCTCCTGAAGTCTTCTGACATTGACCTGTTGCATACATGCTCGATGGAGCTTGGGTAAAAATGAAACATTTTAGACAGATTCGCACAAGTACAGACTTAAACACGGACCATATTTAAAAATACATTTAGAAAGAACAGTTCAGTAAAAAAAATTTGCTCCCTTTTTATAGGTACTCCCGGTTAAGGGTACTTCATAGGAGCTACGTGGGACCAAATCCAGGGTTTCTTCAGTCCGGCACCCTGTTTCGCACTGCAGTCAAGCAGACGTCCCGGCGAGGAAGCCCACAAAGCAGAGCATGAGTGCCACCTGCTGTGCAAAGACCCAGTGCCTCTCATACTGGCATATATGCGTGTCTGCAGCCGTGCACACGGAACTGGGTACATGGTGCAGTTCTCCACGTCCTGAGAAGCTTGTTGATGTTTACTCTCACACTCAAGTTTGGTTCTCAGAAGCCAGTCAAGAACTTTGCTCAAGAAATTCACCTTAAATCTTCAGGGCAAGGCCTGTTTAATTGATCTCTAAAATTTAGTTCTCTCAAGCACTATTATTTTTCTCCTGGAAAGTTATTTCGCACAGAAATATGGAGATAACTAAATCTAACTGAATCACTACCTTTCAGAAAAACGAACTTATCAAATAATTAAAGTAAAACAGAAATAGACACAACATCTTGAACACTTACCTGTACTTGTGCGCTGAATGAAGACGGGAGAATTCTCTAGAGCTGAAATTCAAATGCAGGAAAAGATTACTTTAGTGAGTTTATTTTAAAATATTTTTGAAGTTCCTTTGGTTGCTTCTGAGCTAAATTCTTCAAGGAAGGCTGTATGTCTGTCTAAAATGGGGCGAGAGTAAATCCACAGTGGCCTCACCACTCTTACTACATATAGTTAATCAAGCCTACAAGCAAGTACTTTGGGACCTGAGATTTAGTTCACCGGTGGCCATTTTAACAGGGTCTAATTTAGATACACACTTCTACATGACAATAAAAACTTAATATAAATTCTCCTTTTCAGAGCTAAAGAAGCATTTTATGGCCACAATACTTCATTAAAGCCATCTGTGGTACCACTGCAAGTACATTCAACAGGAAATGCCACTGGATGTCAATTCTTACCTGAAGTTCTGTACTGAATTGGAGATTTCAACAGAGCTGCAACAGAATCAAGAACGCAGAGGGTAAGAAGAAAATTCACAGGCCGCCTTTTCGACAATGGCAGCTGCTGATGAACAGCTTGTATTTGTGACTTTGCCCTGAGGTATCCGTTATTTATTGCATACAGTGATTCTTCATCAAAAAGCTTCATTTTACATCTGCTGCGCCTGAAGGCATCCTCACGTTACAGCTTTCCTTCTTTCTGTCAGTATCCCTAGACAAGCTGAGCTGCACATCACAGGATGTCATAAAGCTCTGTCCTCCAAGAGACGTGCTTGACACGGGACAACGGTGGCTGTATGGGGGGCCTTACCCTCAAGACTGAATTCATGCTATTTTGCAGAACACCGGAGGCAACAACTGTGCAGCATCTTGTGTTCTCCTGCGCGTGCTTTATGAGAAGAAAGGCAAGACAAGCTCGGCCTCAAAGCACAGTGCCCCTGCCAACCCCAATCTTAACTGCCTTCACTGTAGAAATACGCTCTCCATTATAAAAGCTGAATGCAATTCTCTCCATTTTCTTTTCCAAAGCTCAATTGTGGGCACCGGGCAGAACACCAGGAACCTCACATGCAAGGGCTGCCGTCTACAGCAAAGAGCATCGGAACCCACCTGGGTTGAGAGCTAGATTGCCAGAGCTGCTCCGAAACCTTGGGGATGTAAGATTCTACTTATTGGAGGGGGAGCAAATGCTCAAGTTTAATGCTACCAAAATATCCGACATTTTGATGACTGGAGGTGCATGGAAGGCCAATGAACATTAAATGCTTACCTGAAGTTCATGGCTGAATCAAGGTGAGAGTCCTCCATAAAGCTGAAACAGAAACGGAGCAGAACCTAATTAACAAGCAGCCAAGCTATGGAGCAGAACAAGAGCAGTTGCCACTTCTGCAGGCAGGAAAACCTTCCGCAACTGCCACGCCGCACATTCCACCCTGTGCTGGTATCGCCTCGCTCCTGCAGAGAGGTGCACGCCACCATGGTCCTGCTTCCCCAGCTCTTAGCCGCATTCAAGGCAACATTTAAAAATATAGATCTGCAGGCCAAAATGGTAGCACTTCCATTTACTACTGATAATATATTGTACTACGCCAAGAAAGCTCAAGTATCTGCTGGCAGCTGGAAGAGAGACGGGTCTCGCCGGCCTGGCTCGGTCGGTCTGCCGGGGCTGCCGGGCTGCCTCGCTGCAGAGGAGGCCCTGCCCTGCCCCAGGGCCCCCAGCAGGCTGCGCCGCTACCACCTGCCCCCGGGCTCACCTGTCCGGGCACAGAGAAACATACAGCAAGATCAGCAGCACTCCTCCAACGAGCGTGGCCAGAGACGACCGCATCCAGGAGCTGAGCTGGCAGAAGTTACAGTACTGGACAATAGTGATGAGGATGGCGGAGCACATGAACATCGTGCACTGCAAGGAACAGAAGCGGGGCCGTCAGTGCTCGCCCCGCCTTCATTCACATCGTCGCCTGAGACAGTCTCTTTCCAAAGGACATGGGGTACTTTTAAGGTGATTTAAAAATACAGCTCCAACCAGTGTTCAAATTCCAAGGGAGCAGTATTAGCAACGGTGGCACAGCTACTGCTCCCAGCAGGGGTATTAAATAGACCGGGCCGGGAGTGCTATTCCTGCAGCACGGCAGCACCCCAGGCACGATCGCCCTCATTTCTGTCAGGTCCCCCACCCGTTACTCACATTCGCTGGGCTAAAACACCGCAAACGTCATAACCCGGCACAGTTCTGCTATTATTTTTTAGCCTCTCAGAAAATACGCACCCCCCAAGTTTCTGATCCCTGAAGTATGGCTAAAAGGCTGCATTTGTGTCTCTCACATCAATGCCACTCTGCTACCGGTTATGCTACAGGTTGCAGTGATGGCAACTTACGTAAATGTTGGTTTCAAATTCTGAGGTAAAATGTGAGAAGACCGCGAGGGCAGGGAGGGAGATCAAGATGGCACCAATGACGTGTCGTGGCAGCCAGCCAGAGATCACCTCCAGCAGCCGCTTTGTGCAAGCCATCACATCTTCCAAGAAGAACACCATTCTGGAAATAACACACACAACCGAGGTCTTCTCACTGCAATCAGCTTATCCCTTACAGAGCTCTACATCAAATGCATTCCAATTTAAGGATATTTAACTACAAATGTATGGTTAGGGCATTGTTGGGCCAAGACCAGGCTTGGGCTCAGCTTCATGGCATGGTCACAGTCAGCAAGCCCTCTAGGCCAGGTGAGGTCCTTTTCTGAGCAAGGAGGTGGGATGCTTGCTGCTCCCCCCGCCATGACCAGGTCAGCACGATGAGTGCAGCCCTCCCCACGCTGGTGGAGCCTGCCTTCTCCCGTTCACTTCTTTATTTTCACACCTGGGATGAACGGGAGCAAAATCAGCCAAGCCCTTAGGATCGTGCATGATCCTGAATGGGCGCAGCAAGGACGACAAAAACCGCCACGCCCGGCTCAGCTCTCCTTTCCCATCCCAAGGGCTGCACAGAGCTCTCTCCGCCCTTTGGCAAACATTTGTGTGGAGTATCTGTCAGGGCCCCCGGTAAGCCTTCTGACGCGACAGATCCTGAGTTGGCCTCATGTACCTGATGGAGATGACGAGGGACAGCACCTCCAGCAGGACGGCAATCGCCACCACGACCACCGCGGCTGGCGGAGGCGGCGAGGCGGCCACCCAGTGCTTCAGGAAGCAGGCGACGGAGAGGATGAGGAAGACTGTGGTGGACAGGAACACATCCAGGAGTGAACTGAACGTAGCGCTGGCAAAGGTCTTCACGGGCACATTTCTCACGACCTGTGGGGGAGCAGGGGAGGGAAGGCACGTGGCGATGGGTGCCTAAGCAGCATCCCACTCTGGAGGAGCAACCCGGAAGAAGGCCAAGCCCAAGCAGCCGCATTGCTACCGAGTCCCATGGCGCAGACAAGCCTCTTTAGCCATGGAGTAGAGATACTTACCGCACTAGCAGGAAATTTGTGCTACAAGGTTTTCCGCCACTTCTCATGCAAATTCCACCCACAGTGCCACATCAGAATGGAAGTTCTACTGTATGCTAATTTTTATGTTTACATTTACTACAGGAATGTAGTGTTTTTCTGTTTGTACTTTTGTTAAAATAACACTTAAAAAAGAATGGGAGTTCTAGCTTCTGCATGCAAACTAAAGAACTTGCAGTAGAAATTTACATTGTTAACTCTTGCATAAAAATCCAGAAACAAGCTCACGTAAATGCTGCATAATTTGTGTTACATGTCTTTGACATTTATGGGAGAACTCAAATATGCAGCGGGTTGGAACTTCCTGTTTCAGAAGCAAAGATGCTCTGACGCTTTTGCTTTGTCTTATGAAAAGCAACCTTTGCTGGAGCAGTTATATTATGTATACAAAGAGAAGATGTATCCTGCAATATTTCTCTCCCTTTAAACTGTCCACAATGTCCAGTCTAACGACTGCTCGGAAGGCAAGCTGCGAGAACCCACTGTGTCTTCTGAAACAACTCCAACTATTATGGAAACAAGCAAAGGAATTGTGGGAGGGAGCATTTCCCGGCCAGATGTCACCCCCGCAGAGCTCCAAACACGGGTCCAGAAGGACACGGCCAGAACGCTGGAGCAGTGAAAAGGAGTAACTGGGGAGGGCAATTTGAGCAGAAAACAAGCAGTGGGGCAACGGCCACGCAGCACTCCCCTCTCAGTACGGAAGGGCCGCAGGCTGTTTTTCACTTGCAAAAACTGGCAGTGGAACTCTGTGGGTGTGTAACCTGCACCTCAGACGCAAACAGAACACGTGCACGTCCACACGCCAGCATACCTCCTCTTGATAGCTGCTCCTGTAGGCCATCTCTAGATTGTGATCCAAGAAGTTCAGGCTCAGCTTGTTAATAGGCGGTTTAAAAAAATAGTCTTTCATCAAGCTAGAGAAAAGATGGACGATTAGGGATATAAGTGAAGTGTGATAATGATGGTATTTTGGTGGAAAGATGCAAACAAGAAAGCAATGTAAGAGCTGGTACAGCAGAACAAGGACAATCATAAGCCGGGAGCCCTCTTTTCGCTCCGCACAAATATACTAGCAGGCTAATCACCGAGATCATTTATATCACTAAGACCCAACTTCAATTACTGCAGACAGACCATTCAGGCAGGCTCCCGAGAGGTGCCTTGGACCAAAAAGTGCAATGGTCCAAGGCACGAAATCACAGTCATTATGCTTGGCTTTTGAAAGCCCTCCGTTACTCTCAGTCATCTTTACAAAAACCCTGTAAGCGAGGCTAAAATCATCACCCCACTTTGCCTGAGGAAGGCCCAGACAGAGAAGCGCGGCTGGGTATTTTTGCCATATTGCGCATTCTTCTCACCTGTCTTCTTTAATCACGTCGACAAAGTGGGCATCAGTTTTTTCTCTGATGTTTTTGAATCGCAACGGTAAAAGAGCTGAATGATCCAAGCTCACACCTATCCACCTTCCCTTCTCCTGCAATATTTCGTAGAGTGATGTCTGGCTGTTGCTCAGCTTCTCCTCTTGGGGAGGACTTAACAGTCCATTCTGCGACTTTGGACTGCATCCTCCAGGGCCCTGATTCAGATCAAAGGAAAGGCAGACGCAAAGAAAGAGGATTTATTTGTTTGCTTATTAAATTTCAATTCCACTTAAATTTCGAAACCCAGTAACACTTTCAGGCCTTTTCACAAAACAAGATGCAAAATAATACACAATAGCATGATGGTGCGTAACAATGAAACACTGGAAGCTCAATTTTAAAAGCTACAAGTAAAAGCTGGCGGTACTGCAAGGTCTTAACACACTCTAAACATTTATTTCTAAATGTGTCAGGACTGAAAAGCCTGGAAAAATTAAAAGGTATTTCTCTGGCACTGAAAAGGCCCCAGAGGCCGCAGGGAAGCCTTTCTTCTGAGATCATTCCACAAGCAGGGAAGGCTCTTTCCTCTATTGCCACCCATCCCACCTTACCAGACACAGGGACCCGGAGAAGGGCCTTTTGGATGACCTTAAGGTCACACAAGGGTGGAGCTCAAACCACTTGGAGCTTTATATTCCCATGCCCGATTTAAAATATCCAGAAGCCTCTAGCCCAGGTTTGGAGAACAGGAGGAGCTGCTCTGGAGAGGAACATTCTGCCTCAGGAGGGGGTAGGCTCTGCCTTCTGCTGGGGGCATTGAAGCAGAAGCTGGAGATCCATCTCCTAGGGATGCTGTAGTCCATCCTGCATCAACTTCTGAGATCCCCTCAAACTTTAGAAGTCTGTATCAGCTTCCTTTAGATCAACTTCATCTCAGAAATGGCATCAGATCAGCTTCAACATATTGGACTGAGGTCAGAACAGAGCCGAACGCGACCCGCAAGCATGCTACCTTTGCACTGTTTTTATGCTCCTCCTGGCACCCGTTCTGGATCGCTGCTTCGTCTGCACTCACACTGCAGGGAGGTGCAAGTGCAATATTGCACGAAGGGCACATCTGAAAGCCAGAGGAAAACATGCTGCACAATTAAATTTGCTTTCCGTAAATGACCTGCTGCCGTTCCAATGTCGGCACGTTCACATTTCTCAAACACAACCGATGTGAGGCTGCCAGCAGTCTGTGCATCACAAAGTTATTTTTCTTTCCTTTCTTCTAACAAAAGTGAAAGCAGTTAGGAAAAGGGAAAACATTCTTGAAAATAGGAAGAGCTTACTGGGGACATAGCTCGTAGCTAAACAAAAAAACGGAGCAGCATGCTGAATGGCGCATATTTGTAGATCTATAGAAATTAAACAAAATCAGACTTTAAAAAAATAAAAAATAAGGTTCTAGTTCTCATGATCGCAGAGACAAATCTGAGATTGGAAATATATGAGAACGTAAGAAAAGGTCCAGGCAGTCCAGCACTCCTTCAGGCAGACTGGATCCCACAAGCTGCTCAGCATCTGCTGCAGGCAGGCAGGCCAGCTTAGGCAGCGCGCGGCCAGCAAGGCTAGTAGCTGGCTCCCGACAGCCGCCTCCCCCATGAATCTGTCCAATCCCTTTTTAAAGCCATCCAGATTGGTGGCCACCATCACTTTCCACGGCAGCAAATTCCACAGTTTAACGGCGCACTGTGTGAGGAAGTGCTTCCTTTTATCTGTCCTAAACTGCCCACAAATAGCTTCATTTTTCAAACTTAGGGTGAGAAAAACACTAGAAAAAGTAGTTTTGTAAACAGATACTAACGCAGTCGCTTATTTTTGTATTCCTAGTCATTCTCCAACAAGAGCTTTTAAGGAGACCAGGAAGCCAATTTTATTGCTGGGGCCACTTACACTGGCTGTCCTATCGCTCGCTGCATCTGTTTGTATAAACAGAGCACAAGGGAAAGTTTATAGAAACAAGCAGAGTCCCAGTCAGGCCTGAGGCTTGTCAAACAAGGCGTTCCTTAAACAAGGTTAGGAGATAATGTCTCAGAGGAGGAGGAGAAGCCCCAGAGCCAGAAGACGCAATGCTGGCAGCCCCATCAAGGCCGAGCGCATCAGCGTCAGTGTCGCCCAGATCTGCTGAGACCGTGCAGGCACCCGGGGAGGCACTGCCCGCAGCTGCCGAGCGATGGATTAATGAACTCGCGAAAAACAAAAAACTGCCAACAGCACCCTGCGTTCAGGCTGCCCGAGAACTGAGAAAGCCCAACAATGCGCTGATTTACCAGTATTTATGCCACGCCCTTTCTATCCCCCAAATTCAAGGCTGGTGACAGTTTTGCATTTCAGTTCTTCCTTCCTTCCACCGCACAACGAAGAAAAGATTAGTTTCATCCCCACTTCACACAGACCAAGAGAAACCAACCTCCCCATGAACCTTACTTTGTGTGCAGTATATGGGCCTGCCTGATTTCTCCTTTTTTCCTGCAGGTTTCAGAAAAGCAGTTTTCTGCAATGACTTGTTTGCTGGATGCCATTATATCCATTTTACAAGATCACACCAAACTGAATAGCAAAGGAGCAGCCATTCAGGACCAAGAATGTGAACCTGGTCCCTTTGCAACACTGCTCTCTCTCTCATCTTATGACAGAACCAACAGAAAGAATGATTTTTATAATTTATCTTTCTAAAAAGATAAATTACAATAGTGCATGGAAATAAGTTTTACCGCACCCTATTTTTATGTCCCCAAGAATTCTTCTAAAACATTTCTATTTTTACCTAATGTAAGCTGGAAAGCATTCAGTGGAGGGCAATAAAGATAACCTGGGGACTGGAAACAAAAGCCCTGTCAGGAGAGATTGAAAGAATTAAGCACGTTCAGTCTCGAGAAGATCACGGGAGATCTGACAGCACTTTTCAAGGACTTGAATGATGGTCACAAGGCGGAAGACCAGGATCTTTTCATGATCATCCAAAATGCAGGTCATGGAATGACAGGCAGCCAGCTGCCGGCTGAACATTAGAAGGCCTTTCGGACAGTCGGGCTGTACGACAATGGGGGAAATTGCCCAGGGAAGCTGTGGGCTGTCTCACACTGGGGACCTTCAGGACGCAGCCAGACAGGCAGCTGGAGGGATGGTTTATCCCGGAGCTCTGCACCGAGCAGCCGGCCGGACCTGGTGCCCTTCTTGGCCTCTTCCAACTCTACTGTTCCATGAAATAACTCCACAGAAGTATGACAGCTGTATTTGACAAACCTTGTTTTTCTCTGAAGGCCTGACACCCTTCACTGAATCACCAAAATTCTCCCCTGATGAGGTGCTCTGCAACTTGTTTCTGCCTCCTGCTTCGAGACCTGGAAGTAGAGTCCGTGAGCAGCTGCACTGGGACTCCTTCACTTTCAGACCGGAGATCAGGTACGTTTTCAGACCTAGAGGGAAACTGTAGTTAACATGGCTGAACTCACGCTACGCCAGCTCATAAGCCACCTGATCATCAGCTTCAAAGCCATCCACCCACAGGGTTCACTGCTTCTTGTGAAAACAGACACCTCCTTTGGCAACAGTGAAATAGTTTGCAAATTGCGGGGCCAACTCTTAACGGGCACTTGCTTCTTCGACAGCCTTCCCAAACCCTTAAAATAGAAATATACAACATGAAGCAAGACTGCTACTGCCACCCAAAGGTTTGCTTCCATATAGTAAGCACTAAAAGTGTGGACATACATACGAGCCCTTCGGGACATTAACGTGATCCATAGCAAGCAAAATAATTGCAATGTTTTTAAGTCTCCACTTTGTGACAGTGATTGCTCTACTTCCAGAGCATTAGTCAAGCTGGCAGTAAGACAAGCAAAAGTCTTGTGGCACCTTAAAAATTAACACATCCAATGGGACTTGTATCAGAGACCGAGCAGCATGCTAAAGCACAACCCAAGCATTTTGATTTCTCTTTTCCATTGTGCTAGGAAAGCTAGAGAAAGGACATGACACCTTCCTTGACCAGCATTTTCTGCATATTTCAAAATTTCTGCCCACTCTAAGCATGTTCCAACCATCAAAACCATGTCAGGATGCCTCATTTTTCTAACCCTAACCCTACCCTGGAGCACACCCCTAACCCTAATATAGGGGTAAGGTTCCACTGAAAAGAGGGCCATTTTGAAAAAGCCTTCCTCGAGTAGCTTTTTCTGCACATCTCAACATTTCTGCCCATTCTAAGCACCTTCCAACCATCAGAACCATGCCAGGATGCCTCGT